GGGGGGGGGGGGGGGGGGGGGGGGGGGGGGGGGGGGGGGGGGGGGGGGGGGGGGGGGGGGGGGGGGGGGGGGGGGGGGGGGGGGGGGGGGGGGGGGGGGGGGGGGGGGGGGGGGGGGGGGGGGGGGGCAAGTCGGAATGACGCCACTCGGGGTGGACCCACTCCGAACAGAGGCCGTTTTCGATTCAAACTTATTCCCGTTCAACAGGAAGGAGCGAGGTAAGGACCTGCAGAGTGCAACAGGACTGACGCATGGCATTCTGCAATTACTCAGCAAGCATAAGATGGCTTCATTGAGGAAAGAGCAATCTACCTACTAAATTTCAATCGCCGTTCAGAAGGTGGGCTTTAGGGTGTCTTGATAGGGCGTTTCGTCGGATAAGGTAGGAAGCACCGGAGGCTTTGAGATGGACGCACTTTAGACCGCGCTGATAAATCGACTTTGTTGCTAAATGTGTTGCTTCAATAGACACCCCCACTGTCCTGGAGCATTGAGCCTAGAGATAGAGGTTTCGATCCAATAGCCGTTTGATTTGTTGCTCGCCATGCTCCATATCGCCTTCTAGATGCCGAGGTGTTTGTTACCAACCGACCTTACCCTGCCCACTACCCGCATCGACAGCTTTACAAATCAGGACAAGTCTCACTCGACTGCTGTGACGACACGGAATATAGGTTCCCGGGGTTCGATCCGGCGCTTTTAGCCTTGTAGATAAAACCCCTTGACGACCCTTCTCAGATCTATCTTTCTGCCCGCTTGCCTGTCAACAGTTCATCAACACGAAACCACTGGCCAAACGTCCCACCCCCTCCGCTTCAGACGGAGCATCGCCAGAAAACGCCGCAAAACACGACACCTTATCCCCGCATAACCACCCTCGTCTCTGGTCTCCTCTACGCAGGCAAAAGAACATTAACCCCCCAGACGACAACCATGACCGGCACCGCCAATAAGGCCGCCCCAGGCGTGCCGTTTTACACCCCGGCCCAGGAGCCCCCCGCCGGCACCCCCGTCGACGCCCCCGCCGCCCCGACGCTCTTCCAACCCCTCCAGATCCGCGACCTGACCCTCAACAACCGCATCTGGGTCTCGCCCATGTGCCAGTACTCCGCCGACAATGGCCACATGACGGACTACCACCTCGTCCACCTGGGCCAGTTCGCCCTGCACGGCGCGGCGCTGACCATCATCGAGGCCACGGGTGTCGAAGCCCGCGGCCGCATCTCCCCCGAGGACGTCGGTCTGTGGCAGGACTCCCAGGTCGCGCCGCTGAAGCGCGTGGTTGATTTTATTCACTCGCAGAACCAGGCTGTGGGTATTCAGCTTGCTCACGCCGGGCGCAAGGCGAGCACGTTGGCGCCGTGGATTACGGAGACCAAGGGCAAAGCTCTTGCGCTGGAGAGCGAGGGCGGGTGGCCCGATGACTGTGTTGCGCCGAGCTCGATTCCGTTTACCGAAGGATGGGCTACGCCGCGGGAGTTGACTCTTGAGGAAATTCAGGGTGTGGTGAAAGCCTTTGCTGAGTCTGCTAAGAGGGCTGTCGAGGCGGGTGTCGATGTCATTGAGATTCATGGCGCGCACGGCTACCTGATTACGCAGTTCCTCTCTCCTCTGACCAATGTAAGTTCTGACCCCCTCTTGACCCTCCCATAATGATACAATGCGGCACAGAAAATACTAACACAACTCCAGCAACGCACCGACAAGTACGGCGGCAGCTTCGAGAACCGCACCCGCATCCTCTTTGAAGTCATCAAGGCCGTCCGCGACGTCATCCCATCCGGCATGCCGCTCTTCCTGCGCATCTCGGCGACAGAATGGATGGAGTACGACGGCAAGCCCTCGTGGGTGGTAGAGGACTCCATCAAGCTCGCCAAGCTCCTCCCCGAAGCCGGCGTCGACTTGCTGGACGTCTCCTCCGGCGGCAACAACGAGGCGCAAAAGATTGAGATCTCGCCGTATTACCAGGTCAGCATCGCGGGCAAGATCCGCGAGGCGCTGGCCGCGGAGGGTAAGAAGCTGTTCATCGGCGCCGTGGGCATGATTTCGAGTGGCGAGATGGCGCGGAGCATCGTGCAGGCCCGGGGCTCTGGTTCTGCGGAGGCGAATGGGCATAATGGTGTTGATCAGGGCAACGCGGCGACGTTGGAGGTTGACGAGGAGCACGGGCAGGTGACGCAGGCGGACGCGGTGTTTGTGGCGAGGCAGTTTTTGCGGGAGCCGAATTTCGTGTACAAGATTGCGGACGAGATTGGGGTGAGGATCAAGTGGGCGAATCAGTACCACCGGGCGCCGCGGAGGAAGCATTGACTACATGGTCGGAAGAAGGAGGGCGCGAGGCTCTGATACGAAAAGGAGATGGTGGTGATGATGCAAGTGGGTGTAGAAAAGAGACGAAGATGAAGCGATAGTAGTCTGCGTAGAACCCAGATGAAGACAGACAGATAGATCACCGCCTCGAGGTGGAAAGAGAAGCATCCAGTAGATGGATGCTGAGTGTCAAAGATGGCTAGACTTTTCAGAGTCCTGGAATAGATTTTGAGTAATGTATATGTTTATATTGCCTTTGTTCGGTTACGAATACGTGAATAATGATTGTCCATATTTAATAAAGACGACTAGTATAAAAATATCCTATTTGTTCTTATAGCTCTCTAATTTCAGCATCTACCCTTAGTGTTTACTCATCTCGCCTACACGATTCATTAACGAATACGTTAACGAGAACCGCTTATGCCTAATAGAGAGGAGAGGGTGTAGCTAAGTGAACAACTAGGTATGTTATGTAAGAGGATTTCCCCCTTTGGTCACCAGGAGAATCAACAATAATCAGGAGGTCCATTCGTGGATGGTCACATCGCAGACGCGATTGTGGCACTCTCGGTATCTGAGCCGTCGGTGGTTCCGATCTGTACTCAACATTATGTGATAGTCTAAGACGTTGTATGGAGGACTCTGGTACCTTCCTTATACCCGGCAGTTGAAGAAGCATTGTCTCCAATAAGTTGTGGCTGGCTTTTACGTTCGCTCGTTGACCAATAGGCTTTTTCTTGTATAGTTACTTAGCCCACGCCTCTGGCTTCTCATTATCTTGACTCCTTGGTAGGAGAGCCCATTGATAGCCTGGACGAGATGAGCAAAACATGGCAAGAACGTACCTAACGTCACGGAGGGGGTCAGGTAGTTGTAGACTGAAGCTCACCACCACGATTACAGTAGCGGAACTTGAAGTGCACTACGGAGTATTTGAGACTGTATTGTATTTGATATCTGAAAACAACTTAGAACTCTGGCAATATCGTGCCAACCTTGTGCTTCGCCGCCAACTCGAGAATGACCTTGCCCAAAGACAAGTCCATGATGCCAATACCGACACTCTTGTACACAATCAACCCTTTCTCAAGCCACTCCCGCAGCAACCCCGCCTCACCCTCATCCGCCTTGCGAAGCTTATCAGTAAACTCACCCACCTCGACAATCTTCTCAGCGGGGATCTTGGCCTCCACCAGCTCGCCAGCCTCCAAGAAACACGCCTCGCGACTGTCCACGAAGATGACGCCGTCCTTCTTGGCCCCGCCTTCCGTAGAAGTGAAGGCTCCGAGGGACGTGTCAACAACAGCGCGGAGGAAATCCGGGTCGAGCTCCTTCATGCTGAGCTTGTACGATCCGATGGCCGAGATGTACCGCGTCTTGGCCGAGCCGCGCTCCGAGGTCAACCACTCGGCCGGGAATATGCGCTGCGTGGACGGCGTGGTGCAGAAGATGACGTCGCTTTCCTCGACGGCGGATCGCAGTTCGGCGTTGCCTGACGCGCTGTCCGGTGTCGCTTCGATGACGGTGAAGGTCACCGAGTCGGTGTTGCCCACTCCGCTGGCCTTGCCCATGGTCTGGAGCCGCTGAATGAGCTTCGCCGGGCGCTCCTTTGAGCGGTTCACGATGGTGATGGTCTTGATGTCCTTCCCGCGGAGGACGAGTGCTAGTCGAAGATGCCACAGCGCCTGCTTACCTGCGCCAAAGACTACGATGTTTGCCGTCGCCTGGCGGTACCTGTACAGCAGGATAGAGCCGAGCGAGGTGCGGAACGCCGTGAGTTCCTCGGCGTTGATGATCCCTACAGCTTTTCCGGTGCCGTCGCAGATCGTGAGGACGCAGCGGAGGTCGGTGGTCGCAGAGTTGGGCGGCGGGAGGCCCACGATCTTGACGGACATGCCGCCTTCCATCGTGGCCGGCATGAAGAGGCCGGTGGTGCCGTCGGGCCTGACGACCGCGGCGCGGTGGGGCTGGTACTGCGCTTCGGGGCCGACGGAGTAGGAGAGGAATGCGTCGGTGAGGACGTCGGACATGAGGGCCACGTCTTCTGGGCCGAAGCCTTGGAAGAGCTGCTTCACGTTGTTGTCTGATAAGACTGTGAAGGCCATGTTGGTTGCGGATGCGACGAACTGTCAAAGAGTGATGGCTTGAGAATTCGAGAAGAGAGTAACTCTTTCAGATGGTCCTCTGTTCAAACGAAACCTCTGAATTTTTTCCTGTTAGAAAGAAAGAACTGAAAAGGCCTTGGGTGAAGTGGTACGAGTCTCGGTGCGGACGGAAGTAAGCCGGTGACGCTCCGATAGTTTTGTACTGTGGGGATCCCGATCGGTCCCCTGTCTCCGTGGCCCGATCTCGGATGCCTCGCCTCGGCGCCTCGGCGTGGCCCCCTTTCGGGATGACTTGCCGGTTCGAATGAATAAGGTAAGCCGCTTCTGCCCGCAAGTTGCAGCATCGCGTTCAATGCGAAAAGTCTGTGAAAATAAGCACCATCGGACAAACCATCCGACGTAATCATTCCCTCGTCTTTGCGTCTCGAGAATAGTCACTCAGGCGTTTCTTGATGTCTTGCTGTCGAACTCTCCGTCATGCAAGCCACCCGATGAGGCAAAAAGCCACAGGAGTGCATGTGAGTTACACAACAACGGTTTTCGATCAGGCCGCCTTTCGAGTAACAGAACAGGGAGCTGCCAAGCCTATAAACTACGCCGAGCTCTTGACAGAAGAGGGCAACACTTCGCTGTATGTAGGGCATCGTCATAGTCAGGTCATTTTATATCTCATCGAATCAAGCTGGCTTCAAGCCGCACTTGCTCCGCCGTGCCGGCAGGTGGGGGTATCATTCGGAGCCGACTTGCGCCAGGGCCGATGCAAGATGGACGATCAGTTGACAGGCTTAGGCTGGCTGGCATTGACATCTTGCATCGTATCGGTTATCGCAGACCCCCTTCCCTCGCGCGTTGCTCACGAGTTCCTGCCCAAGAGAAGGAATAAAGGAGCTCTTCGGCAGGATATTGCCAGGTTGTTTGAGAGCTCAGCAAAGATGGCTGTGTTTATTCTGGCAGCAGTCAGGTTGCATTAGGATATGCTGGCTTCAACGGAAGAAATCAAATGTGAGTTGGGCATTCTCTATTCAATGGGCCAGGTGCCTTCTGTTACATTGAGACTTCGAGTCAGGAATGTGTGAAGTTCCTCGGCGTCAAGTATGTTGGACGAAGCAAAATCTCATACTAGAACACCGAAGTGTAGTTCGGCCGCTTTGAGAGTTCTTTGGAGATGAAACGAACGTCCCTGTGTTGAGTCCAATGATCGGACCACTAGTTACTGCCCATTCAACCCTCCCACACCCTCACGTTGATGAGGGGGGGACAATACGCGACCACTACACCATCTCGCAAAGTGTCAGAAAAAGCTGCCTTTGCCTAACACTCCGCCGATGGTACGGAGATATAGCTATCCTCCACCGGTTCGGGGGAATGAAATTGTCAGCAGATTAGCATTTGTCACATCCGCCGTCCGCCTTCTGATGATATCTGACTGTACAATCGCTCCGGAGAAGGCATCCAAAAGCCGGCGCCGAAACAGTAAGCAAAAGCAGCCGTGCCCTCGCCGCCCATCCGGCGGCGCAGCAAAGAGAAACGGCGGACTTCCAGAGACCAAGGTTCAAGAAAAAGTCGGGGGACCGCGAGGTCTTCGGCAGGTTTTTGGCCCCCAACCCCACCAAAATCTCAGAGAAGATATCCGCCTTCTGTGTCACCGTGCCATGGTTTGCAAGTTCATCCCCGCCCGTTGCGGACTTGAGGCGGGCCAAGACGCGGACAATGGACGAAGAGCGAAAACGGGCGAGCAGCAGGGATGCCGCTTCTCGGGGCCCGGGACAACGCCATATGCCCGCTCATCTGCCCGTTCGAACCAGAGAGCGCAGAGGTGCATAGGCGGGACTGCGCGTGCGTGTTGTCGCTTCTGAGACAATCTCTGCACTCTTGGAAACAATGGAAACACTACTGCGGTGCAACGTCCAACGTCGAAGCATGGCAACGTCGTGCATATCCGTGTCGCTGTATGTCAACTTGTCAAGAGAAAAGAAAACCTGTCAGTGCCTCGAAAAGTTCTTGGACGGTCGACTAACATCTTAGACTGACTTCATACCCCGGCAAACGCTGCCGGTCCAGATCCCCGTGCCAAGATGAACTTGGTGGCCCACAGACCATTGACTCCAGTAACTTAACTTGAGCCCCAGTGCGCCAGAATTGTCAGTGTCATAGAGTTTACGAGTCTCGGAGCCGAACTGCCCTCTTCAGAAAGAGACGACTTGTCATGACACTCATCGTAAAACCATGGGGGGCAACAGCAACACGATGCGGGAAGGATCAGGCATACCCGTTTCTCACCCGCCCCTCCCTGCAACACGTCGACTGCCGACAGGTTCCCTGGCGGGAACGACATGGCCTTCCAAGCCTCTTCTCGTCCTCAAAAAGAGTGGACGAATAATAAGTTCCGACGAGTAAGGTTGGCTTCCTAGTGGTAGATTGTAGATGGGCACTAGTAGATCACCCATGCCGGGGAACTATGACGCGCGGCGGGCCGTGGTCGCTGGCGCTGATATTAGCCTGCCTCGCATTCGTGTGAGTGCGTAGCGAAGATGACCCCCTCGCGTACTGACAGGCGCGGAGGTTGCCCATTCACCATTGTACATTGAGCGTCTCGTTGCATTATGCAAGACGGTCTCTTGACGGCTCCGCGTGGGGAGGGAGGGGGAAGGGGGAAAAAGAAAGAACCTGCGCCTTGTTTGAAGTTTTGCCTGCCAATGGCCTGGCCTGCGGATACCATGCACTGCCAATGACCGGTAAGTGTATAGTAAACATTGTGACGTTGTAATCTGTAGGGATTTGAGGGCCATACTGTCATGTCGTACTCCCATACTTTGGAGTCCATATCGATGAAGACGGTCCGAGTGGCATATAAGAATCCCCACTGCCCTCCGCGTTTGAGACTTTGAGAAGACTCTATCACCATACTCTACTACTATTCTTGCAGAAATCTCCTATAGGAAGCAGCGGCGAAAACCGATTCGTTCTCGTCAGGTTGTGTGCCGACGTCTCTTCTCTTCTAAACACTCAACATAGAAACAGCGCACCCAAGATGCTGTCAGATATTCAACCCGAGAGCTCCAGGCTCTCGCCTTTTATCCTATGGCCGCTAGTAGTAATCTCACTCGTAAGTCGACATATCCCTGAGCATGCTATTCTCATAGCCTATCTTTTCCTCTGCCGCCACAGAGTTGAGCAGGTTCCTAACAGTCTCAGGTTGTCATCGGCCTCCTCCTTCAAATCATCTACAACGTAACATTCCACCCTCTCTGCAAATACCCAGGCCCCAAATTATGGGCCGCTACCCGTATCCCCTACGCATTGATGGGCGCCCGCGGCCAGACGCACAAGGAGATTCTCGCTCTCCATCAGTACTACGATGCCGAGATCATACGCGTCTCGCCTAACGAGCTCTCCTTCCAGCACCCAGACGCGATGAAGGAGATTATGGGCCACCGCAAGGGCAAGACCGAAGAGAACGCCAAAGACCCGGACTTCACCGACAAGAACCACATGGACATCATCTCGGCCAACCGCGAGGACCACTCCCGCTACCGCCGCATCCTGTCGAACGGCTTCTCCGCCAAGAGCATGCAGGAGCAGCAGCCTATCATCAAGAGCTACATTGACCTCCTGATCGAGCGACTCCACGGTATCTGCAGCAAGGGCCCTGTTGATGTCGTGGCGTGGTACAACTACACCACCTTTGACATTATTGGTGATCTCGCTTTTGGACAGTCTTTCGGATGCCTTGACAAGTCTGACTACCACCCCTGGGTCAAGCTGATTTTCACCAACATCAAGATGATTTGTTATGTCAACATTGCCAGGGGCTTCAAGGTCCTTGAACCTATCCTCAAGGCCTTTATCCCCAAGGAAGTCATGAAGAAAGGCATGTCTCACAGGTTGTTCGTCCGTGAAAAGGTCGACCAGAGAGTATCTCTCGGCACATCGCGGCCTGACTTTGCGGAAACCATGCTGAAGAAGGGAGCTCAGGTGAGTGCATACTCCATTAATTGTCTCTGGATACATACCTTGGCACAGACGAGCAAGCGATTCTACCTTATTCGGTTCTCGAAAGCTGACACGACATCTTCTAGCCAATGAACATGCCAGAGATGTACGAGAACGCAAATGTTCTCATCGTCGCCGGCTCCGAGACAACAGCGACAGCCCTGTCTGGCTGCACCTACCTCCTTCTCACCAACCCGGACAAGCTGGCTAAGCTGCAAAAGGAGATTAGGACCTCGTTCCAGAACGAAGATGAGATTGACCTCCTCAGCACCGCCAAGCTCGAGTACCTCCACGCCGTCCTCGAGGAGACTCTGCGGTCTTACCCTCCCGTTCCCGTCGCTCTGCCGCGTATCACGCCGCCCTCTGGACAAGAGATTCTTGGACAATGGATCCCTGGAAATGTGCGTTCCCGGAAGCACCCTCCCCCTTTCCCCTCCTCAACCAAGCTAACACCCACATCTCCCCTCCAGACCACAATCGGCGTCGCTCACTGGGCCCTCTACCACAACGAGAAGATATTCTCCAAGCCTTTTGAATTCCACCCGGAGCGCTGGCTCGGAGACCCGGCCTTCGCCGACGACCACCTCGAGGCCCTCAAGCCCTTCCACATCGGGCCCCGCAACTGCCTGGGCATGAACCTCGCCTACGCTGAGATGAAGATGATTCTCGCCAAGGTCATGTGGAACTTTGACCTCCAGCTGGCTGCTCAGAGCAAAAATTGGATCGACCACGACGTCTACCTTCTCTACAACAAGCCGCCACTGATGGTGCACTTGACGCCGGCGGTTAAGGCTGCAGAGTAAGCGGGGGCGAAGGTTGGTTGATGGGAGCGTGGTTTTGTGTGTGGCATTTGGAAGCCTTGCTTTTGCTTTTTAGCTTGTTGAGGGTTCAAGTCATCGTGTTTGTTTTGGAGGCTGTTTTGAGTCGGTTAAACTCAGATATAGACCAGGTCGACCAGTAAGCTGCTTTCCTTCTTTCAGGTCTTTCCAATGTAATATGTGACAGATGATCTCAGTACCTAAAAGTTGTTCCCACTTACCTTACGTTTCTTTGCCTTCTTAGAAAAAAGCCAGATATTGTCCCGGGGCCCTCTCATGGAACAAACGCATTCGTCTGGGACTTCCAGGAAATTGCACCGCATTGTTTAGAAAGACCTTCACTCCGGAGGGAACTTATATCCGTGGCGTATAATCCGGAAGAAGCACGCCCAGAGGTATGCAAGTTGATAAATCGTAACTTGGTACTACCACCTCTTCCTTCCATGCCTGAGTAATCTACAAGATGGAATACTCCGAAAGTCACGGAATACTCAAGACACCAATGGGTTTCGCCCTAGGACAGGGAATATCATTAAAGTGATAAGGAAGGTCTGAAGTCTGAAGCCTGAGGGCCGAGACTGGTCGCGGCTGCCTTCATCGCCGCGTCTCAGTGGGACATTTGAATTCCGTTACTTTGCGCCAGCGAAACATCACAGTCCGGGACTTGGTACATGCTAGTGAAGCTCGCTCCCGACACGAATAGTCTTATCAGAACAACGTCGTCCAACCTTAAGAACGCGCCCACTTGATACTGCAAAATATCTACCGCGCCGTCTCAAAGGCACTATACCAATGCTTAGATAAAAGACTGCCGATTTATCCTGACTATGTTAAGATGTGAAGTTGCCAGGTCCGTGGGGGAGCAATCTCCTGCCCAAAAACATCTCGTGGGCTTTGCCGGAGACCTTGAATTTGATCTCATCACAATCACGCGGCCGCTTCGAAGGAGTGCGATCAACAGTCTGCATGCATTCAGTGAATTTCTAGGCCCAGACAACCAATGGCCAAAAGGTCGAAATGCCTAAGACTTATATGATAGAGTTGTCGATGCTGTCTACCACCAATTAAAGCTCACTTCGAGAAGCGGTCTGCGCGCCATCAGTGCTTGGCTTGCTTCAGCCGCTGCCGGTACCCCGCAACGCGACGCATGCGACAGGACGGCCCGCCCCGTATCCAAAAAGAGCTTCAAGCTGGAGGAATGGCTGCTTCCTGGATCCTCTATACGTTGGAATGCCCTTATCTCTCGAGCCTCTCACGTTTCTTCCACGAGTGGCTGAGCTGATGTGAGACGGGTCTCACTTCTCTGGCAGGAGGGAAACTTCTATCTACGTTAACCCCTCGTCTCCTTCACCTTTCCGGCCGGCAGTTGAGAATACTGGTAAGTCGGGATATATACTCTCATAGTATGTTGATACACAGTATCTCCCAGGGGCAGACATCCAAATACCATGTTATCGTCTTGAGGCTACGTTAAACCTAGCCCTGGATCCCTTCATTCGCCTGTGTACAACCAGAGATTATGAATCGCCTGCGATGGAGGATCTAGAAGAGGAAAAAAGGCAGGCCGAGGAGTCAAGGCGTGTTTTGTGAGAAGAGCCTGGGTCCTCAACAGCCAGGAGCAGAGTAAGGGAATGGCTACTGACCGCCACTCGTTTCTCAGCTCACATCGCCTGTTCCAGGTCATATCTTCTAAGCCTCTTCACTTGCCCAAACACGGCAAATTCGTTCCTCACCACTTCAGCCGTAAACTTGACTGACCATCATCTGCAAAGAGATACTTTACTCCGAAGGTCTCGCTCTTCTACCCTTACCACCTTTGACACAAAAGAGAAGACAGGAATCAAGTGCTGGAGTCGCTGACGCGTGTTTCTCCTGTTAGCACATGGGAGCGGTGAGTTGGCCATGATTGTACCTCATTAGAAGAAGGCTACCTCAAGTGATGAATCATGAATCAAAAATCGCGAGGGGTAACAAGACACTCCGAGCCTGGAGTACATATCGAGACGGCGTTGAGGGTATAAACATGCCTTTCTCTTCCAGTATCGTAAGTCACAAACATCGAACCTCAACATCCTCATCTTCTACTCCAAACTTCGTCTTCAAATCGGAACATCAAGTCAAATCTTGGCCCAATCTCATTCATCATGGCACCTGGAACCTATCCCATCACTGGACTTCCTGTACCGTCTGGTCAAGAACCGCCGCAACGGCAAGAGATCACGGCCTGGAGTAACAAGCTTGAAAACGCCATCCAAGTGTCGCTGTTCATACAAGCTCTGAACATCTTTCAATCCATGGACCCGTCTGACAAGTTATCCTACTACCAAGTGGCCGGCATTCATGGTTTACCAGCCCAGTCATGGGATACTGACCCAGCCCCAAACAAGAAGCAGAAGTTACCCATCACCGGCACGCCCCAGTTCTACTGTCCACATGGATCTCTCATTTTCCCTACCTGGCACCGGGCCTACCTCGCCCTATACGAACAGCTACTCAGCGGGATCATGACAGACAAAATTCTCCCAAATATTGCGGACAAGACCGTGCAAGACATATGGGCCCTCGAGATCACGCGCTGGCGCCTGCCATACTGGGACTGGGCCATGCCTCAGACATATCTTGGAACATGCGGGGTGCCAGAAATTGTTTCCCTTCAGGAGATCGAAATTGTCTCTCCAAATGGCATTGCTAAGCAGAAGGTACAGAATCCATTGTACATGTTTACAACCGGAGTCATCAGCGCCCTCAAGGGAATACCGACTGCCATGGATGACGAGACGGCGTTTGGCATCTGGAGAATTAGGGGCAAACAATCTAAACCGGTAAGTCGAACATACTCATCGATATTTGGAAATAATAACATGAGACTTATTGGGATGTTCAGTTTGATGCTTGCTCTGGGACTAGTCGTTATGGAATCACCAATAAGCACACCCCGACAACGCAAGAAGCTCTGGGCATTGAGAACAACGCCTCAGTCGCCGAGGCTCTACAGACACCCGATTGGAACTCTATGGAGGAACACAAGCTCGATCCCAACATGACGGGCTCTCTTCAGGACCAAGTTCATCGTCTCTTGACTGCAGGGTACTTCCCGGACTACGCCACTTTCGCTACTACAGAATACGGCAGCCCCAAGCTCTCACCTCCGCCTGCTACTGGCTGGTTGTCTCTCGAGTTCCTTCACAATTGCATCCACGTCTGGACCGGCGGAGATGACGCGAAAACAGGCATGGGTCACATGGCTTACCTCACGGTTGCCGCCTTCGACCCTATCTTTTGGTTGCATCATTCCAACGTTGACCGACAACTGGCAATTTTTCAGGCACTCAACCCGACCCATTGGTTTGATGGGGGCTCTCCAACTAAGGACGAAACGTCGACAGGTCCTCTTCACCCATTCCATTCTGATACCAACGGCACCCTCATTACCTCCGAAAACGTGAAGGCCACCACAACCTACGGCTATACTTACGATGATCTCAGCGCGCCCCCTGCTACATTGCAGAAGACCATCAACGAGAAGTACGGCGTTCTCCGGAAGCATCTTCACGCGAACCGAAACCTGGCAGGGAAAACAAATGACTATGTCATCAATGTCCAGTACGACAGGTAAGCGCTCCAGACATCTTTCGCATCACGGCCGCTACTAAGCATTTTGTGACAAGATTTGCCCTCAATGGCCGAAGCTACGCAGTTCATTTTTTCGTTAAAGGAGATGTACCAAGCAGTCCCTCCGAGTATCGGGCCGCTCTCAACCATGTTGGTAGCATTCACACTTTCTCGACGGACTACTGGACTGCCGGCAACACCAATGGGGTGGATTGCCAGAATTGCCAGGGTCAGCAGGCTGAGGGGGTCGTGGCAAAGGCTCAAGTTCCCATCACCTTGGAACTATTGTTCCGGGCCGTGAGTGATGGCAACGCGTGGGCGGACCTAACATCTCTCGAGCCCGACCATATCGAGAAGTATCTCGAGCAGCACCTGAAATGGGTTGTCGTTGCTGTAAGTCCTTCCATCTTCGAGACCCCGGGCATCACACCTTGTTGCTTACCAAATTTCGGCACAGGTGCCAGGAGAAGTTATTCAGACGGAGAACCTTCCGGGTCTCAAAGTCGTGGTTCACGCAGGACAGTCCGAACACCCGGAGGACACGACTCAACCGTCCAAGTTCCATAGCTATAGGCCCATGTGGAGCGTCACGCATGGCAAGACCGGTGGAGCTCGCCGAGAGGACAATGTCGTGCATGCTGATGAGGCCCGAAACTAGATCCGGGGAGGCCGGAGAAGTCAGGACGGGAGTGTGGCGCGGAAGCAGTCATGCTTCGTCATGCTTGCTACAGCGGTCACACGATCGGCACGGTGATCTGGGATTCCGTAATGATTGTCTCCGGTTCGGTCGTCTGAGATCCACCATCCGAAGCGGAAGCCGGAGCGGCTCCGGCACTTGAGGTATCGTGAGGCGTGGCTTCCGACACCGGGCAATAAAGCAGCATTATTCTTCATTATTTACTGAAATAAATGAAGCATTTATTAACCCAGGGTTTTCGTAAATTGAAACCAGGTCTTCGGCCTATGAAATGATAACCAATCCAATAGCAGTTTCTCTTCCTTGGTGCATACTCAGACACGTGAGGTACACCGGCAGTTGGTCGTAAATCAAGAACTAACTTCTGTCTATTTTTGCTGATCTGTCTGAAGAAAATCCACTTGGTTCGTATCGTCCCGCGAGCGGATTGGTAGGACCGTTCAAGGACAGGGTCTCGAGTCATGGAGTCGGGCACTGCGACAGTGGCATCCGGGGTAAGGATTCGCTGTCGCTTACGGGTTGTTGGTCACCGACTTCTCGCTGTCACATTGATACGAATAGTCTTGAGTTGAAAATAAAGAGGGGTATTTGAAAGCTACGGAGAGTCTCTGTTGCGGTTTGATGTATTTACTCAATGAATCAAACTTTATTCCTGGGCATGAAAACTGCGTGAGTGAGCGAAAAGCAAACCTGAAACCTTCACAGAATCGTTGTCATGCCTTCGCCCAGAAGGAGCCCTGCGTCATCGAGTCCCGCTCAGCCTCAGTCGCCTCAAGACCATACTGAGAATGAAGCGGTACTGGCTGCAGAGGAGGTGATGAGATCCAACCTGTTGTTGGCAGTGTAGATATACTGATATGAGAACCTGCAGGCTGCCGATGATGCCACATCGGATTACGGAGTACGATGACTTGGCACTGCCTCAAATATCTGTCAGACATGCTGATGATAGATAATGTAGGGTACCGCATCGTCAACGACGAGTGTGAGCGCCTCCATCCTCGACTATAGGAAGGAGAACGGCAGGACATATCATCGGTACAAAGATGGGAGTAAGAGCCTTGCTCCGTCGAGACACCTTACAGTGTACAGGCTTCTGACGGACGTCTAGAATATAGCTATCCTAACGACGAGAGAGAGAACGACAGACTGGGTGAGTCTTGATTGCTGTGAAGCTCACAGAGCGGCTTCTCACGTAGGTAGACTTGCAGCACAACCTGTGGCTCCTTACCTTCGACAACCGTCTGGGTACCGCACCGCCAAATGACCCAGATTTTCCCGTCAATCGTGTTCTAGACGTCGGTACTGGAACCGGACTATGGGCTATCGAGTTTGGCGATGAACACCCAGAAGCTGAAGTGAGTCCAAAAAGGTCTTTGATCAAAACACCGACTGACGCCTCCCAGGTTCTGGGCATCGATCTTTCAGCTGCTCAACCAGAGTTGTAAGTGTTCCTTGATATACGCCGTTAGGTGAAGCTGTGATTATGAACTGACCATCTCAGCGTACCCCCGAATGTGAAGTTCGAGATTGACGATATCGAAGAACCATGGACGTTTTCGAGGCCGTTCGACTATATTCATAGTCGTCTAATGACATCCAGTCTCGCAGACTGGAAGAAATATCTGCAAAACTGTTACGAGTGAGCGGAACAGTGTCCGTATAGTCAGGAGACCAGACCAGTCAACTAACGCCTTCAGTAACCTCGCACCCGGTGGCTACCTCGAGCTGAACGAGATGGACCTAATCCCAACCTCGGACGACGGAACCCTCACCGACGATCTCGCCTTCACCAAGTCCCTGAGACTCCTAGGTGAAGCCATGGGGAAGCTGGGTCGTCCGTATCAGGACATACCGGAACTCAAAGACATGATGGTCGAGATCGGGTTCCGCGACGTCGTCCTAGAGAGGTACAAGTGGCCGACCAACTCCTGGCCGCGGCATCACAAGTACAAGGAGCTCGGCGTCTGGCAGAACGAGAACTTGACTGCAGGTATGGAGGGCTTCATCATGGCGCCCTTCACGCGGATCCACGGGTGGTCGAGAGAGGCGGTCCTCGTTTTTCTCGTCGATGTGCGGAAGGACATCAATGATCGAAATATTCACGCGTACTTTTCAGTGTGAGTTTGACGGCTCTGAAGCTCCGAGGGGATTCGCTGACTGAAATTAGGTATTCTGTATGGGGAAGGAAGCCGGCGGTGAATGAGGGAGGTTGAGTTTTGATGGAGGTTCTCATGACTTGCAGTTTCGTTCAGTTTCGGCAGGCTTTGTGCGAATGGCACTCACCCATCAGAAGTGGGTGAGCTGTTTGGATGGTTCCCCGTGCTTTTCAGTCCGCCTTGTTCTCAGAACATCTCATTCCGCGTGTAAATACCTCGCAGTATCTTCTGCCCATCATTTCTCAATTGCAAACTGGCCAGGTCATGTGTTCTGCTGAGAAACGCAGCCCGGGCGTGGTTTAAGATTCATGCTTGACTGACTCGCCTCACTATGCCATTAAGATGTGCGCCCTCTTCTAACCGAAAGATCCGACGAACCTCCGGCTCGATTGTAGTTCGAATATTAACAAGTATACGGACACTGGCATGAAGATGAAGAGGGCAATTGGTGAGAACATGCACCTAAGGCTCTAAGCTGTGATCGTTGATAACAGCTTTCCGCGAGAAGCCACCAACCAGTAAAGGAAGGTTGCAAGTGAGGCAAGGGATGGCCTGCCAATCAGGTGATGGAAGCTCAGAGCTTCAAGCAAGGTAAAAGTTGACAACTCACCACCTTCAAGTCCCTTGCCTGAGAGCTCTTCGGTCTGTATTGTGTCTCGTGCAGTATCAAGATATGAAGCCACCACTCACTCTTTGCAGGAAGTTGAGGGTTCGTATTCACCATGAACGGAATCCACGCTCGCAACCAATGTAAAACACACGGAGGCTAAAAGCGGGTTGAAGCTGGAGCTACCCAGGTACTCAGAGAAAAGAGGGAAAAAAAGAATTAGGCGTTCGTGCCGAATTCAGGGACAAAGCCGTGCAGGGGCCAACCGCCCACACGCAGTAGTTTAGAACGGGCAAGCGGCAAGGCCTCAGTGGCTCAAACGGATGGTTGCAGTCCACCGCCTGCGGATACGTACCTCGAACCGTAAACTCGTGGGCGGGCACATTGAAGCTTGAAGGTGAGGTGGCTGTTAATAAGGTGCAAATATAGTGGAGGTTACTGCTGGTGCCGCTGGAGACGGAGGCTCTCAATTGTGTGTGAGATGTGTGTGACCGGTACTTCTTCCCCTCTTGAGTACCTGGCCGGGAGCGTGCGAGCACGGCAAATATCCATGTACCGAAGAGAGGTGCAGGTACATCCCAGCGACCTACCCGTTCTGGGTGCTCTGGTCTAAAAAGTGGGTACCTCGGACCTCTGAGCACTGAGCAGCCATCGCGGGAGGCTCGAAAGGACACATTGTACCAAATCTGAAGTCATCCACGCCATTCAGGCCAGCTTGCCCTCCGGTTTCTCCATTTCGTTCCCTTCGAGACTCAAAAGTCGCTCCCCTTCTTTTTCGACACACCAAACCAAAGACCCTCCACAGCTTACGGCTCTGCCACGACAACTCTTCTCCCAAGAGCGCCAACGGTCTACCTTTGTCAATCCTTTCCTCTACCTCTCTGTCTTTCTCCTTCGTCGCAAACCCTCCCACCCCCAATTACCTTTGCCGAAACGTCAAGGTCAAGGCCAGCCCTCGGATCTCAACTGCGGTCAACCCTCTTTTTTTTCGCCTCACGGTTTAGACCCTCGTCTCTCCACCAGCAAACTCCGTCATTTTCGACGACCACAACGACGACTCGAAAGAAATAAAGTCGCCAGATCGAACAGCTGGTCTGTCTGTACCTTTTTGTGCAACAGCCACGTCTACCTCTCCCACGACCTCACTCCCTCCGTCGATCTCCCGCTCCCCACGATGGCTCAACAGAGAGGCCCTTCCTACGGCTTGGGTGCCGGTGGCCCCTCCGCCTCTTTCGGCGGTCCCAGTGGTGACAGCTCCGAGTCCAGCCCCTTGGATATGATCCGTCAACAGACAAGCAAGATTGAAGACATGTTGGACACTCTCAGCGAGCCAATCAAGCCGTGAGTTGGAACCTCGGCATCTTGACAGGGAGCTGTCGGATCGCTCGCCATCGCGTGAGCCATGTTGGCTAACATTGCTCGACAGTTACCTGCCCGCCATTGGTCGCTTCCTGATCGTCGTCACCTTCCTCGAAGATGCTCTTAGAATCATTACGCAATGGAGCGACCAGCTCCTGTACCTTCACGATTACCGCCACAGTATGTCTGCAATGCTAACAATATCTGCGCCAAGAATTGGATATGCTAACCTTGTACAGTTCCCTCGGGCATCACCCACCTGTTCCTCATCGTTAACGTTCTCGCCATGGTCGCATGCTCCACTCTCGTCATTATCCGCAAATACTCCGACTACGCGGTCGCCGGCCTTATGGGCGTCGTCGTCACGCAGGCTCTGGGATACGGCCTGATCTTCGACCTTAACTTCTTCCTTCGCAACCTGTCAGTCATTGGTGGTCTTCTCATGGTCCTCTCCGATTCGTGGGTTCGCAAGACCAAGGCTTTTGCTGGTTTGCCCCAGCTTGACGAGAAGGACCGCAAGATGTACTTCCAGCTTGCTGGCCGTGTCCTGCTCATCTTCCTTTTCGTCGGCTTTGTCTTCAGCGGCTCCTGGTCCGTCTGGCGCATCATCACCTCCCTGGTTGGCTTCGTTGCTTGCGTCATGGTTGTTGTCGGTTTCAAGGCCAAGTTCAGCGCCACTCTCCTGGTCCTGATTCTCAGCATTTTCAACATCCTTGTGAACAACTTCTGGACTGTAAGCTTTTCCAAACGCCAACTTCCAATGCCCTACGTGTGTATGCTAATGATTTGTAGCTCCACGAGCACCACCCCCACAAGGATTTCGCCAAGTACGATTT